GGGATCACAAAGGAATTTTGTATTTTGAACTCATGCCGCAGAACCAAACGATAAATTCAAATGTGTATGTTGAAGAACTCGAAAAACTGAAGGATGCAATTGAAGATAAGCGGCCGGCATTATCAAATCGGCGGAAGGGTGTTGTTTTCCATCATGATAACGCGAGGCCCCACCCCCACACATCTTTGGTTACTCGGCCAAAATTATTGGAACTGGGTTGGGATGTTTTGTCACACCCACCATATAGCCCTGACCTTGCACACTCGGATTACCATTTGTTTCGTTCCATGCAAAACTCTTTAAATGGTAAAATTTTTAACAACGCGGATAATGTCGGATCACACCTAATTCAGTTTTTTAATAGCAAAGACCAGACATTTTACGAACGGGGAATTTTTACTCTGCCAGAACGATGGAAAAAGGTCATCGACAAGAACGGCCAATATCTAATTGAATAAAGTTATATTTTTAAACAAAAAATTCCGAATTTGCCTTCTTATTTGAAATCGGCAATGACTTAGTTGCCAACCTAATATATGCTCCTCCCTACATCCCCCCCCCCTCCCCAATGTATTCCTTCCTGACCGATCTTGTCATTTGGATCATCGCCTCAGAGTCTTCACTACGCATTACCTTTGATAAATTAACCTAAACAGCATTATATTAATGAAACTGGGGTGTGCGATAGACTTACCTCCACGTGGTACACCCTGAGCAACGTATACTCATACGGCAAAAAAAGTCTATTAACCGGAAGTTGACTTCTCACTTCAAACTACCATCACCTCACTCTATGTCATATTCGACCCCTATTACAGTACTCACCTCACCTTTTTCTACCTATACTACCTTCGCCTTTGAAACACTCTTCTGTTCCCCCCCCCCCTCTCGACTTTTTTTACTTTGATGTTCCTTCCCCTCTGTGAATTCTGAAGTCAACTTAAGGGCTTATGATAACCATCAAAAAAATATTCATGGAACTCAATGTTGCAACTTCATTGAATCAGTCAGTCTTGATTAATTGTGGGTTTTGTATTCCTCCAACTCAATTTGTTTGCCTTCAGTCCCAATGCATATACCGACAAATTTCACCGTGTTCATCACGGCTGCCTTTCTTTACACCCACGATGTCTTCCTACATATTCAGATTCCGTCATTTCTCCTTGTCACCTCGCGCATCAAACTTGTAGAAGTATTGCCCATGACATTTTGACAATTCTGACAAAAGTCTCGTCGATACGCGATTTTAATCTGATTAAAAAGTACAGCAAAGATGGGGTGTCTAGGGTCTCCGAGTCAATTGCGCTTTGCAAATAAAATTTTAAAAGAAAATAAAATCCAAAATATATATATATATCTTTATTTATTTATTTAATGGTAGATTTAATTCGCCTTCTTCAATTACTAAGAGAAATATTTCCGGATGATGGCTTCAAAATCGACAGATAGTAAAGTACAGTGTTAAATGACTGCATTAATTACAAATAGCGTTAAATGCTACTTTCATAAGAAAAGTCAATCAAGTCGAGTTATGGTTCCGCATATCAAAGTATTTGTCTGCGATCTATCCTGCAGATCAATTCTTCTCTTTCTACGCAGCAGCGGGACATAATAGGTCCGCGCTCTTTCTACGCAGCAGCGGGACATAATAGATCCGCTTTGGACAGCGGGACATAATAGATCCGCTTTTGAAGGAGAAATAGACAGTGGGACACAATAGATCCGCTTTCGAAGGAATAGAGTAGCGGGACACAATAGATCCGCTTTTGAAGGAGAAAGAGAGACCATCAGGAGAGCACTTGCCAATTATGTTGCCTGGATACGAAATTCACCAAAGTTTGGACTCACAGTCAGCGAGAAACTCAAGCGGTGATACTTTCGGACTCACAGTCAGCATTTACCAAAGCGGTGATACTTTCGGACTCACAGTCAGGAAAAAACTCAATTGGAAACAGAGAGCCACCCAAAACAGCTGAGTTAAACGAATAAAACGGTGATACTTTCGGACTCACAGTCAGCAATAGACACTTTCGAACTCACAGTCAGCAATAAACTCAATTGGAAGTAGATTTCGAACTTACAGTCAGCAATAGACTCTATTGGAAGCAGAGATACTCACAGGCAACAATAAACTCAATTGGAAACAGAGAGCGTGATACTTTCGGACTCACAGTCAGCAATAAACTAATGTGGAAACAGAGATACCCAAAACAGCTGAGATAAAGGAATGTAGAAAACTCTACCAGCTGCTGAGAGAGAAAAACAAAGCAGTAGGAAAACGCTATGAGCTGCTGGGAGAGAAAAACAAAACAGTGGTTCTACAATGGATTCCTGGTCACTGTGGCATTAAAGGTAATGCGCTTGCTGGCACACTTGTTAAGAAGAGGACAACAATTTTGCAAGGCATAGA